GTGCCCAGTTACCAATCTTATAACCACCTGTTGATTTATAACACGCAGTAAAGTACTTTTTTCCACTTGAAATGTATTTTCGCGGAAGGAATAAATCAATACCGTTTTTTCCTATTTATTACTTTCAACTCATTAAAAATCAGCCAACATTTTTTTTCTTAGCAAAAACAGTTCTAGGTAATACTACAGTATGCCAATTGAATATTTCATTTTAAACAATATTACCTACTATCACATATTTATCAGAATAAAAGTTAAAATTACTAAAAAGACGAAGATCAATAATAGAATTAAATCAGGTCAACGAGGGTAATGTAATGAGAATAAATCACGCGAGTAGAGTAGATTAGACATATCTCTCTCCCCAATTAGGTAAACGCGAAATAAGTTCGGCGGCGCTACTAAGGAATTTCCCCATTTTAAATCTGAGGACTGGAGTGGTGTTCAAATTACGTTTTCCAGCTCTTTTATATTATGGAGTCGTCGTGGAAATTATTACGCCCATTTACATAACGTAAACAATAAGCTGTTACCCAGGGTGACACAAGTGTACATCATTATAGCCATGTAAATGATATATCTGAAATTATCATTAGATAACAAAAACGATAGAATTCTGGTGACACTGAAATAGTTTTATGTTGCTCAAGGTATGAGTCGCTTAAAAAAAGAAAGAAAAATTGACTGCATGACTGAAAATAGAAATAACTTGATAGCACCGATTTTAAAAACATGCTTCAAATGCTTTCACGGAGAGTAAGTCTCCACAGGAGTGGGCAGGGGACTGTGCACGGATACCACGCTTTGAGTCACGTGACATAGTTTATATGACTATCCCACATACCTCACTAGGACACTTCATACGTAATTAGCCAGCTTGACCCGTACCGATTTTAAAACATAAACATACACCCTCTACCACGATTACATGTGGTTTATAAACATAGTTAGAATTCTTAGTAATTCAGGTTTCATTCGGGTTTTTTTTTAGTCTAAAATATATGTGCTCCACCCACTCACTGTATGTAATTTTATTGTATAAGGAGTACAACTCAATATATTTTTGTCCGGTATGTTTGAAAGCTTATTTTATTCCTAGCATGTATTTCTATTTATCATAATGGTTCAATTTTAAACACAAATCCCATTTCACCCGGTTTAATTCTTTTCTAGTAAATCGACACATATGCACATTTAATGGTCAGAGCTTTCCTTCACTTGTTCACAAAAATTCAACCAGACATAAATTATTTTAACGACAATGTTCACTTATATATATATATATATATATATATATATATATATATATATATATATATATATATATATATATATATATATATATATATATATCATTTCGACGTAGTAAAAACGCTTGGTTGTCAGAGACAACTCATTAATACCATAGACTCCTTGTAAAACAGCATTTAGCTGACAGGATTCCTAATAAACTTTGAACTTTGAACCCTCTCAAAGTATCCGATTTACGAGAAGACTCCACCTAATGAACCGATGACCATAACAATATTGTTTCTATTGAAAAATGCCGTAATCTTTTAAGAAGTATTGATGCAAAGTGATACTCTGAATCTAGGCTAAAGTCAGTTCCCATTTCCACGAAATATGACGGTGTATATATCAAATGCGCACGTTGAAATGGCCACCACTAACTCATCGTTATATAAATTATAATGATTTCTTTGTACGTTATTTTTCATTTACGATTTGATCAAGATGTGTTTTCTGTTTCTCGAAAGATTAATTTATGTTTTTCTCCGAGGGTAGTACCTGTTTTAATTTTAACTTCACCAACCTTTGTAACTGTCCATCTTATCGTGTAACTGAAGACAATAACTCGTACATGAATGTAAAATATTTATTCACTGTTATGACACGTGCAGTAGTGGACTGCCACTCGACATACCTCGGAAATGTTAAGGGTTGTTTCACATGGCCTGTCACGCACGTTTTATATAACTTTAACTTTAACTTTAACTTTATTGACATTATTCATTTTGAATAGAACATAGTCCAATTTATAACTAGATAACAATTCCTAAATACATAAAAAAAAAAATACTAAAACAGTTTAACAAAAGGGCTTGGAAGAATCAGGGAATTGATAATCACTGTGTCACATTACCATACTTTCTTTTATAAAAATACCAAGCTGTATTAATGTGGAAGTGTTGCCCATAATGTATTTAAATTTTATATATGTCGTAGATTGGGTAGAGGGCGCTGACAGATAATAATGTCATTTTTATCCCTGCATGTATTTCTATTGTTCCCATAATTCCACTGTACCATGCTATACGGGTTAGTATCTCAGTATCTATCGTACATTGATAAACCGTTCCGATTGCAATGGTAGTATCGCTTATGTGTGTTTTCACAACCTGGAAACCAATTTTGACATCTTATTGGGGGACAAACACAAATAATGCCAACATATCTATCGTATTATAGTAAAGGGCGATAGTCGTCAAGCAGCGCGTGCTCGAAATTCACGTAAACAAACAACGTATTTTACACGCGTTATGTACGTCGCTATGAGTCCCATATCGAACAGGACGCGGCGCGACGACCGCCGCCCTTTAATTTGTGCCTAAAAAAAGTCCTATGATACCAAACGTGTAGCACGAACCGGACGCCAGGTTTTCAATAGTTGATCCGTGCCAATTAATTAATTAAATGTAGATGTGCCAATTAATTAATTAATTGATCCGTGCCAATTAATTAATTAATTAATTAATTAATGCTATGTATATAATAACAGGAGACATATCCCCTATGAATTAGAAAATTCCCTTATTTAGGTTTGGCTTGAGTCAACAGAAGACAAATTGGTTTCGCTTTGTTCACCCGACCAAACATGTTCCTCAGTCACTTTAAGAACGAAGCACGCACTGTATGTAAACAATCTATCAAGATATGTTTTCCATTTGAAACAACCCTGTCGTAACAGGCCAATAATTAATAATGAATTGCGTTGCCGAAAAACATTTGAAGTAAATTATCGTATACTTCATGAAAAAACATGCACGTTGGTTATAAATAATGCTATACAAGCGATACAGGAATGTGGATAGTGGTCTGACTATGTGGGTGGGTCGATATAAATTACGACATGACCTGACTTAACCTGACTTAACCTGTCACCAATTATTCGATCTTACCAACACTGTCAGTGTAAACCTGTTGTCAGAGATACAGAATAATCTACCCTGGCCAAAAAAA